TTTTGATTTTCAACTAGAAACCAACAGTACTGATGCTATTCAGCCTCCGGTATACAACATCGCTTTTGCCGGTGATTCAGGTAATTATTAAAAAACAAATTTTTTGTATCTTTTTCTAGATAATAAAAAAAATATTAGCATAAAACATCTCATGAAATAGTAAATTCTTTTTTATCTAATAATTAACAAATAAAAAAAAAAAGAACATCAGATAAACAATTTATCTCATTATAGTTTCGTTTAATTAATATTTCTATTTATTATAGCACCCACATATGTTCCACGTAATTTTCGCGTATTACAAATGCTTGATAGTACAACAGTACAATTCGCATGGGATCCACCATTACCTTCTGATGAAATTAACATTCGTGGCGTTCTTAAAGCTTATCAGGTTTTATATCATCTTGTGATTTTATATTTTATAGAATATATGTTGATATAAATAGATTGAAATATTTCGACTTGATGATCCAGCAAAATCTCGTCTTGTGATATCTGATATATTACCAAACAAAACTTGGACAACAGTTTTTAATGCACCACCTAATGCTGATGTTGGTGCTCACATCTGTATTGAAACAGAACGATATTTTGGACCAACAAGTCCTGTTGTATGCATCACATTCAAAAACAAAAAGGAAAAAGAGACATTCAATCATTTTTATTTAGATTCAATTTCCTACACGAGAAGGTCGTCCAGGACCAATAACTAATTTACGCGGTGTACCCTATACTAGCAATGGAATTTTTTTGCTTTGGGATCCACCAGATGAAACAAATGGCGTTATAATTGGTTATCAAATTGATTATAAACCTATTGAAAGGTATCTATGGGTGTGATAAATGTATGACATATGTTATATTTTCTTTCTTAAGTATTGCTTCTCAACCCGGTATCGAACATCCTTCAATATTACTTCGTGATGATACTCGTCGAAATTATCTTCTTAGTGGTCTTAAACCAGACACAAAATATCGTGTTCAAGTACGAGCACGAACATCAGTTGGTTTATCAACAAGTCCAGCTATTATTGAACTGACAACAAATTTAACTCTTGGTAAACAATAAAAAATTGACTTAAATTTCGAAGAATCATTTATTTTTCTATTTTAGCTCCATCGAAACCAACATTTACAGTAACACATCGAGGACAAACATTTTTTAATGTTTCTTTTGATCCAACAATAATGACTATTCCTGGTAGTCTATATTATGTACAATATAAAGAAAATGATAAAGGTTTATATTCAAATTTAGATTTTTAGTAAAAAATCAAAAAAAAAAAATCAATTTTTTTTTCTTTTTTTTTTGTTTAGATGATCAAGCTGTTTTTAAAAAGTCTTATACTGTTTCAAATGATCGTACTATACTTGTAAATGCACTTGAACCGGATAAAATATATACAACAATATTAGTTGCTGGTGATGGCATTCTAGCTGAAACCAAAAGTGATCCTCAAATGGTGGCAACACTTAGCAAGGGTATATTTTGATGCTATACGAGTCTTTTTATATCTTTTTCAACTTGAGAAAAATATCTCTTGAGACTTTTCGAACTGAATAATAAATATGATAGTATCAGATGTAATAGAGAGTGACACAGGAAATCATCATCATTATTGCCTCTTGACTGTGACCGATGTAGATAGTTGATAGAGAAAGAGCGAGATAGACAACTGGAAAGAATAATCAAAGCAAGAAGGATAGAAGCAAAAAAATATATATAGAGAGAAGAAAGAAACGAGAAGAAAAAATTACATGATAATGTTTCCGTCAAGGGTTATCGCATCGATGCAAAGAAAAAAAAGGAAAAATAAAGCAAAAGCTTGTACAATACTCATACTATACTAGATTTCTCTATATGAGATAAAAGAAGAATTGGGGAACGAAGAGAGAAAGAAAAAAAGAAAGAAAGAACTGCAACACACATAAGCATAACTATAGCCGACCAGTCAACAACATTGTTATTTGTGATCCGATAAGTGTTAAATAATCAATGGATCGTATTTGCTCGGAGTTTTATACATGCGCATATACGTGTGATGGATGACAAATGAGTGGTCTATCATTGCAATATTCCACAAACGGGATCGAAAATGGATCCTCATCGACACCGTTTTATTCTAACGATACATTTGATTCAAATTGTACATTGATTGAATGTTTTGGTGAGTACCAATCTTTGATCTTAAAATCATACGAAAAAGAAAAGACTTATTCACGCTAATCTATAACTAATGATTTATATAAACAAATCAATCAACTAAAAATAATTTCTAATATCGTTGTAAGAAAAAATATAATACTAATTAATATTCTATATAATGAAAATGATGAATAGTTCAATATTAATCAGTATATTCTTTTATTTAGATCGCACTCCTCGAGTTATTAGCTCACCTTGGTTCATTGGTCTTATTGTTGCTATAATTGTACTTATCATAGTCTTTGCTATTGTTTGTGGTATTATGAGACGTAAAGGTGGTAAATATTCAGGTAGATATTTCTTTTTTACTCGTTTTGTTTTTGAAGTTAATCGTGTCTTAATTTATAATTACAAAAAAAAATAATTAAATATAAGGAACATACACAGGTACACATTACTTTTTCTTATCCTTTTCATTGCATGAGTTCTATTAGAAATAAATCAAAATATGAGTGTGCATTTTAATATATATATATATTTTTTCTCATTTTTCTGTCTCTTGTAGCTGGTGTAGGTGGCAAATCGACCCTATATAATTCTGTCCAAAGAAGTAAAAAAATCAGAAATCTATTGTTTTTTTCAGAAACAGAACTGCTTTTTGTTCTTTCTTATTCTGTTTGCCTTCTTCGTATTCCATCTCGACTGATTATATGCATTAACTGATGAGAAATACGCGCGATGAGACTCGCATGCTATCTAGATTTGGAGGATGTCGATGCTTGTGTTGTTGTTCTTGTCATTGACATTGATAATGATAATGTTTCCTTTTTTCTTCTCATCAGGAAATAAGTAGTTATTTAATTAAATGAATGATTATACTTATTCTTTTTTATAGTTCAAGATAAAGAAATGTTACATGGTCCGAGTGGATATGGAGATAATGATGGAAAATTTTCAGAATATTATCGAGCGTATGTTAGATGAAATTTGACAAGGAAATCGGACTGAAGTTTTCTTTTAAATTTTCTTCTTCTTTGTAGACCTAGTGATGCATCAATAAAACAAAGTCGTATGTCATTGCATAACGGTGATGATCGTGATTCAATGGCAGAATTTAATGATGAAAAAGATAGAAGTCGTTTTACCGAAGATGGATCGTTTATTGGACAATATGGACGTGATGATAAGCGACATACTCATTTAGTCAAATATGATGAAACTGATGGTTTTACTAATGAATATCAGAATGATGATCAAGGAAAATATTCATCTCATTTATAGAAATATTCTCTTTTCTTTCTTCTGTATAAAACTTATCGTATTTTCATATTTGGAAAAAAAACGAATATTCTTTTCTTTTTCTTTGAAATTTTATTGTTACATTTATGAATCTCATCTAAGTATTTATATATAGATGGCGATCAATATTTAGAATTAGAAAATTTCTTAATTTGTTAGGGAATCGAAACTTTTTTGAAGACGAGTATTTTTTTTTCTTTTTTGTGTATTCTTTTGATTAACTATTGTTTGTTTGTTTTTTTTCTTTTTTTTTTTGTTATATAAATATTTTGTGCACACATACACGTAAGGAAATTTTTGTTGTTTTTTTTTCTTTGTTCTTTAACGATAAATATTGCCATCAAGTTTTCACAGATCTAAGCAATGAATCTCGACTGAAATATGCATCTTAATTGTATTCAATGAATCATCTTCCTTATGTTTGAAGACATCTATCAATGGTGATAAAGATTAGAACAGTTGAACTTGATTAGAGAAGAATGGTATGATTGATAGTGCTTACGATGATTGAAAGGTCTTAAGATAAAAAATCCTTCATGAGAAATTTTATATACTTAATGAAATTAATGTTAGTTTGTAGATTTCACAATAATAGTATTCATGTTTATATACTATAAGTGCAGTATTGTATGTCAATCTTCTTTTTTTTTTCAGTGATTAATCTAAAATAAACAATAATGTTACTTCAAACATGAATATGAATACATAATATGATACAGAACTTGACATAAGAATAGTAAATAGATAATAGATAAACTATAGTTAGATTCTTACATATTAATAGATTCTTATGATTATTGTTAGCACTGCACGAGATGAGAGATTTTGGCATTAATACAATTGAGTTTGCTTGTTTTGAGTGGCATTGAAAATAGCAAAGAAGAAATGAAGCATGAATGATCAGTGATAATATTTGCAACATAATAGAATTATAAAATTATCGCAAAAAAACTATAGTTATTAAAAAAATATATAACAACAAATTGCATTATTCAAGACATTTCTGACTATGTGTTATATATTATGAATTGCCATTTGACTTAAATAAATTCTGAAAGAATACGCGTTTTGCAAAGGGCGTAATAGCAGAAACTTCAGTCCAGGAATAAGATAAAATTAGAAGAAGTCTCTTGATTTTCATTGTTTTTCTCTTACATTTTGTAGAGATTAGCTTTTCTTAACTCCATATAACTTTTTGTTCTTGTCAAATCGAACAATTTGATTAAATAAATATTTAAACGAGTTTATGAAAACAGTGTTAAATATCCAAGAAAAACTAGAAACAAAAGATAAGCGATATATGAAACGATATCTTTACGGATGCATTTTCTAATATATATTCATTTTTCACAATATGTCACTTTAGTTAGTCGAGAGTATTGTGTTTAAGGTTTCATCATTCTTTACACATGCTTGTATGTTCTTACTAGCTCGTTAAACACTGTGATTTATAGGCTCAAAGAACATTATTTCTTTTATTGGCAACTTTGTTTTCGATTATTCGTTTAATTCTAATTAGTGTTTCATTTTATTGCTAGTGTAACTAACATAAATGTCCGCCAATCATTCAAAGACCATTGTTATCAAGTGAATATTTCTTACACATACATTCTCATTTTGACCCAATGTATTTTTGTTTTCATCAAATAGATGTAAAAAATGTAATGAAGTGATATCACCTGACGAAAAATATTTGCATGATGGTGAGAACACAGTACATATTCATTGTTATAATTGTTCGAGTTGTAATAAGTCACTTGCTGGCATGTTTTATTATCGTTACAAAGATCTACGTGACGATGAAAAGAAAAATCTTTATTGTGATTCATGTTATTATCGTTTAGCACCAGTTTGTTTTCAATGTTTAAAAATAATTGATGATATTTCATTAACATATGGTGAACGTATTTTTCATCCAAACTGTTTCTGTTGTGATCATTGTCAAAAAGCATTTAAAGGTGCATTAGTTTTTCCTTATGAAAATCATATTTATTGTTCAAATTGTTATAAAAATGTTCAAAATGATTTTCATCCAGCTTCGTCAATTGTTTCAACATTACGGTGTTCTATATGTAGAAAACAATTTCAACCAGGTGATCTTATTACTAAACATCAAGTATGTATCTTATTATACATATAATTATTAAAAATGACTTCTTCTTTATTTTTAGATCGACTTACCAACAGATAAAATTTCAAATAATATTCACTACATACATAATTCTTGTTTTGTTTGTGGAATTTGTCATCAAAATTTATCTAATACTATGTACTATTCACCAAATACTCATGATGAAGATTTTCAATCCCTTGTGTTTCAGTGTAAAACATGCCATGAATCATCAGCGACTATATGTACTGTAAGCTCTACGTGTTTTTCTCGTTGATGATTCAATAGGATGATAGCTTAGTAGATTTGTTTTAAGCCTTCGGATGATTTAATGATTATATTCAATAATCGATGGTATCATGATGAATGGTATAAATTCATTTGTTTTGTGAGTACTATCAAGATTTTTCTCTCATTTAGTTTTACATGCAAGAATTGCAATTACAAGTTAAAGAATCTTACACGCATTATCACTGAACCAGATGGATTGTTATGTGAACGTTGCTTGAAATTGATCCGTGAACAAGAACAGCAATTATAAATGTCAAAGGCATGAATGATTTCTTCTATATTTCTCTTAGATTTTTCTTTGTTTATTCAGTTGCATATTTATGGCATATGATAGTATTATCTGATGTCTCAATATTATATAACAATAAGAACAATTAAATAAAGATAGCTCATTGACGTAATTCACTATCAATAGTGTTGATTGAGTTGTTTTGTAACAATGTAATATATTTTATCTCATCTCTACTTGTTTTAAAGGAAAATTTTTATGCATACTGACTCAAGTAATGGATGATCTTTTTGAGCAGATAAATATATACCCCCGGAAAAAAATTGTTTCCGCCCATATTTCAAATATATTGTCACTATAATAGCATATTTTTTTAAAACCAATTACATATTCTGGAAGCCCATGAAGTTTTCTATAATCGTGTATGTTTATGTTGTAGTTTGTACTTGGTCATTAGAAAAATAAATGGAGTACAATGAAGGCACCCTCATGTCCACACTTCCGAAAACAAAATTTTGTTACTATCATGAAAATTAGTTTTAAACATTTTTATCATTAGAGCAGTATCTTTTTAAAAAAGTAATTATATATTCTGATAGAGCTTAAAATTCTCTATCATTCTGTATATTTACTTATTTACTTATATTCATTTATTGAAAAGAAAATTTGAGTACAATGAAAACATCCTCAATCGACAAGTACCAACAATCTACATTTTTCGCTGTCTTTTTTTAATTATTATCCCAAAGAAATCAATTATATAAAAGAAATTATACCATTGATAGTGCATGATATTCCCTATCATTCTATGTCTCATATAGACATACTCTTTGATGATAAAATTTTTGAAAAAATCATTTTTTACTATGGTGATTAAGCTGTCACGTGACTGCCCATTGTCCAGTGTATCGTTTACATTCTGGAACCTTCTAGAGTTCTCTATATCTCTATCTTATGTTCTGGAATGTTCCATTTTCAATACTATATATACTAGTGGTTGTCACTCTATGTCTCTTGTATTGCTACTTTTCCACTTTCTCAGTCAATTACTCAGTATTCACTCGAACAGTTAGATCTTTAGTTCTCGCGTGTGAATAAACTAGCTCTTCTAAATCATCGTTTGTGGTCGACATCGAACTTGGCCTAAAGACGTGACAGATTCATCAGTAATGAGTGGTCATTTATCTATTGGCGATCGATGGCGAATTATCTCGCTAAGTTTAGATCAAGGTATGACTACCAACCAAATAGCTTCTGTTATTAATTGTACCAGTCGAACTGTTCGTAATATTTTACAATTATTTCGTGAAACAAATAATGTTATCGAACGAGAAGAACGTGGTCGTACGTTATTGAATAAGTGTTTATTCGGGATCGGACTAATACCAACACGTTGGTACAGTACCTACAATCGGCATTTTATACATATTATCGATCAATAAGACAATATTATTTTATCCACGATCATCCAACTTGGGTTCACACATTAAGAGTACATAACTGGGTGCACAGGCACCAAACAGGGATGTGTCGATAGGGGGAACAGGGGGTCCGGCCCCCCATTATTGAAAAGTAATGGAAAAATCCTAGTTACCTGAGGGAGAGTACGGAATCTTCGCAGCGCCAACGCTTGCTCACCTCCGTCTCCTCCCCCCCCCCCCCCCCCCAGTCATCACTTTCAACGAAAAACTGGGAAATGTAAACAGTTGTTTCTTGTAAATGAAGACGACATTAACTTCTATTTACTAGAACCCCCACCCCCCCCCCCCCCCCACTTTTTTCCTTTCGGCACATTCCTGACTTCGAAAGAGTCGAAAAATCGTTATTTGTACCAAATGACCCAATTGGGGCGGTGTTTGGCATTTATCGATAGAAAAAAATTTCAATGTCTAATATGTTCTTATAGATTTTGATAAAGAATGAAATTCTCTATCTAATGAGCTTATTTTTGACTAGCTTTGTTTGAACTTTGATAGACTTTCAAATTTAAAACTGACTTTTACGGCTTCCAAAAAGTACTTTAGATCTTTCTTATTACCCGAGCACTTTTACAAAATAATATGATATTTGTAATCAGCACACATAGCGCTATCGAACTAAATGGACTTCCCATGAAACGACGGAAAAAAACTTTTTTCGAACCCCGAGGGGAAACCCAGGGGTCAAAAAATTGAGTTGTGATAAAGTGCAAAATAAGTTTGTGGAAAACAATCAGGGTCAATGCTGATTATGGGGCTAATAAAATTAGGCCGATCTTGTTTGGGATGGTCAGTCCATAATTTGCCACCCCTTCTTTAAGCTTTTTCAAAAATCTCAGTCTCTTTTTTTTATAAGAGAAATACGCCAAAACCCGGGTTTTAGTTCGGAGTCTTCACTTCCAGGACTCTGTGACTCCGGGTGGGAATGTCAAAAATGAAAATACTTAATTTTACCTCTGGAGAAAATTTCGAAATATAAGTGGTAAAATTTCAGCCCGATCGGACAAAGTTTGGGGGAGCTTCGGTAAACAACAGAGATTTAGAAAATTGCTGTTTGTCGTAACGCTAAAAAAAGAAGGAAAAAGGTTACATGTGATTATTATGAAAAAAATTTTCTCAATCCAATAACTCTATAAAAGTAAGCTGTTTTGAGTCGACTAATGTCTCTAGTTGCATATAGGACTTCAGGCTATCATATCTTATGCTCAGCTCAAAATCGAGTTTTCGATCACAAAAGAGGGGAGTACCCTTAATCAGGATGCACAGTGTTAGTGAAATATGATTCGCTATTGACTTGTTCATAGCATCACCCTGAACATTACTGTCTATGCACTGCATATTTTTGTCTAGTCTAGCCATGCTGTCATCGCCATGCCGGTGATCCATACGTTTTATCTCATACTTTCGCTCCCTCATCCTTAGTTCTGTACTATATACACATTCTTTTTTGATTGCATGTTTTGTGGGATACAACTCTTCGCATAATGGTATCTGCTTAACGCATGTTTCACTCTATGTTGCTCTGACATTCATATTCATTCGGATTATTGTTCTTGTGAAATTTACACGGAGTGAGATTCATCACACCTGCATCATTCGATAGTCAAGAAAGTTGTAAAGATATACCAGTTCTATCATTTCGAAAGACTGTAATTTCGATGGCCAGTCTAGAGTATTCTGTCAAGATCAAACGAATTTTTTTGTCCGATGATATCATTTATTGAATCAGAGAAAACGGTCCTAAAATTCCTCTCAACAACGGATTGGAGCAGACTCAAGCCTGTCTTAGAATATCAATAAAGTCGATCAACAATCTAAAGGAGAAATGCATGAAATTATTGATGAAGAACGACGACTGCACGAAGAGGAGAACAAAGAGCATAAGGTTTATTTCCTGCGCAGTCAAACTTCAGACATAGCTTCATCATCGTCAGAAACCATCATTACAAAGGTATGGATGTGCGTGTCGGTCAGCTTTTTACTCTTATATTCACACCCACACCGATTCCCTATGAGTGATTCACATTTATTCTGTGTATAGAGCTGTTCCTGAGTAGTTCAGTGTAGAACGTCTCATTCTTCAAAGATGTAATAGAAAATTCTGAAAATTGTACCCTATATAGAACAATGTATAGACTACAATCTGAAACAATTTGATTCGAAATGACCATGAATATCTTAGTAATACAGCATCGAAGCATTTCCTAGTCCCGATAAGACCATGATGAAAAGTCACGACTCCAATGAATCTTATATAGGTAGATGTCTTCCGCCTTGCTCTATCGAACGGTGAAAACCGCAGCTCGATACCTCAAAGTTATCAAAAGTTATTCAAAAAAAAGCTATTATTACTTTTTAAAAAAATTCGGCATTAGTAAGACTTTCTGAAGTCTCACTCAGTTTTGTTCCTAAAACTATAGAAAGTGGCGATCTTGTTGGCATCTTATTCGGCATGAAAATTGATTCGACCATCCTATCAACACCATTTGCTGATGTTGGTGATGTAATAACCGTCTTTGGCAAGTCGATTTAATGTTGATCAGTGACAATGATCCAGAACTACAGGTACTAACTGGAAGCATCCGAGAAGAGGTGACGTCAGAAGAGGTTAGGATCGCTTGGGTATGCTAATAATTAAACTTGGACGGTTTAATAAAGCTAAAGAGGTTTATTATTTGCTACTTGATCAGACAACGAGTAACATGAAAAGATCAAAAATTTATCATAGGTTCGGGACAGTCAAAAATAGTCAAGGTCAACATGCAGATGCCATTGTCAATTATCAACAATCCATTGTACTCGACAAGAAGATTCCCTTTCCAACGTGCACAGATTTAGCTGCTACTTATAACAACGTTGGTTTGGTTTATGACAAGATGGATGACTATTCAAATTCAATCTTATATTATCGAAAAGACCTCGAAATCATCTGAAAAAAATCTTTCTCTAAATCATCTAGTTTTGGCCATATCGTACAACAACCTTGGTTCTGTGTATTTCAGTATGGGTAACTATTCGAAGACACTTTCATAATACGAAAAAAATACTGGAAGTCCAACAAAAACTTCTTCCTTCAAATCATCCTAACTTGGCTACTTCTTACAACAATATGGGTACGGTATATGGTAGCGTGAGTGATTATGCTAATACAGTTTCATCACATCAAAAAGTACTGGAAATTCGCTAAGAAATTCTTTTTTCATATTATCCGAATCTAGCTAATTCTTACAATAATATTGGCTCTGTTTATTACAACATAGGTGACTATTCCCATCCATTTCGTATTTTATAACGTTCATTATCTGCAAATTATTCTAATCTTTTAGCTTTGCAAAAGAATCTGAAATTTATAAGAAAAATGTGATTGGTTTTTGTTTTGTTCAAAGAACTATATGTAATGAAGAGAAACGAATAATGTTTGTTGTTTGTATTTAAAGAGATACTTGTACGGACGTACAGAGAATCTTTGTGTTAAATAAAGAGCCATCGGATAGGCTGAAAGAAGAAAAATGAGAAGATAATGCTCATCGGTTGAATGATTGTCACAGTTTGAACAAAAATATTTAATTTAAGAATACTCAGTTTTTTTGATGTTCCTAAGGGACGGAACAGGATATTCTGCTAAAAAAATACGGTAAATATACAGTAACTCGGTAGCAATAAGATACTGACTCGAACTCTTTTCAAGAGAACTTATATGACGCATATAGTTCGGACAACAAAGCCGTTTGACACTTTAAAATGTTTCCTCTTAAATTAAATCATTGTTTATGTTCATAACTTAATGTAATATTATCTTTTCTGCATTCAACAGTCTTTATCATAGTTTTCTCAAATGAATCAATCTCAAAATATAATTATGATAAAAAAACAAGAATATTTTATTAATTATATGCAATAATAAAAAAAAATCAGCACTATTTTATCATTCATTCAATATCCTAAAAGGATCAATTTCATAATTCACCGATTAGATCATAATTCATTCCAGCGTTTTTTAATTTTTCTATTGATGTTAAAAACATTGATTGTGTTTTTGTATGCCAAACATAAATCTAGAATTATAAAAATTTATTTATATATTAATCATATAAAACATGATTATTACTTTTGAAGCATTATTAGCTAAACATTCAAGTTGATCCATTGTTGTCATTGTATCAAGTATTTGAGATTCTTGTTCAGCAATACTATTAGTAGTTACATTAAATATATAATTTGAATATTGATGAATAAGACGTAAATGAATTGCAAATCCAGCCATATCAGTTGGAAATTTTCTTTTTCGATAAATGTAATGAAACCATGAATGAACCTATTATCCAATATAATCTCACAAAAGGAAACAATCAGATTTAAACTTACTTTTCCATTTAAACAAATTGGACGCTCATATAAAAGTTCACCAACAAGTCCTACTGGCCAAACACCAACTGATTGAACTTTTCTAATCTATAAAGAGAATTCTTGATAATTTAATCATATATTTATAATCAATCTACTAACCAATCGATTACCTCTTGAAATAATCTCCAATGATATGAATTGTCATCGTCAGCAAAATAGATAAGTGCATCATCACTTGAATTCGTATTTTTACGTATCCATTGAAGACCAACATTTTTTTGAAATAATCCACGTGGTCGACGCCATGTTGATTGATTTTGTGTTGGTTTTAAATAATCTGGTGTTGCAACATTTAAATGAATAAATGGTAAATGAAATGATTGCAATAAACGATGCATACGTCTTGTGAGTTGAGGTTCATCTTCGACAACAATCCAAACAAGATTTGGAATCTAAAATGATTCATCGAGTTATTAAGAAAAAGAAAACAAATACTCATTGTTTTAATGTTTTGTTTTTACCAAATAAAGTGTTTGTGCAAGTCGTGTTAAATCAGCTATTTGTTCAGCTCGTGTTTTTGTTGGTGTAATCATATAAATCTTACGTATTGATAATGGATCATTCCAACTTTCTTCAATTGGTTTAACTAAACCTGGATACATTTTCGATAGTTGTTCCCATGGTTTAATATCTTGTTTCTTATCGATATTTTTCACTGAAAAAGTGAACGAAAAAAATGAATATAGATGAAATTTAGAAAAACAAAAAAACACTTTCTTACTGTACATTATCATGAAACTGGTTGTTATTAGATATACGATCAAAAAAATCAAAACCACAGAATATGATGAAAGATATCGACGACACTTTATATGCATTCTTATTTTGAAAAAGAAAACAGAATCATTGAAATGAAAAAACAATGTTCAATATGGAAGTTTCGGTAAAGGATTAAAATTTATTGCATATAATCGATTCTCAGATATGAACAATAAAACTTGAAGCAATAATCCATGATTCACTTATATTAATTGTCAACTTACAGAAATTGTCGATAGATGTCTCTCGGGAGTGGATTGATTCCTTGAAGCTTAATCATTATGTATCTTGCTTTTCTTTTCTCTTCATATGACATTTTCGGTTCTCAATCGGATGTAGCTGATAAATTCGACGCTAATTACATTAGTACTGTAGAACAGATAGTCATTCTAGTTGCTGATGCATATCTAATACTTTCTTTGTCAGTTTGTTTTTATACTGTTGCATATACTTCGAAGTTGTTTAAAAATCATTTTGGAAAACTCAGTTGTGATGAAAACCAGTACTGTTGTTCAATCAATCAACCATTTGCAGTAGCATCTAATACACAGACTTATTTACTTAATGAATCCGATAAGAATCAATATTTTACGTTCGTGTAATTAGAGATATTCTCAGGTGTCTACGATCAGGTAAGGATTACCTCAGTTTTCTACCGTGGCGAAGAAGAGAGATTAGTGAATATGAGACGACGAATTTCTACTATGAATTTTAGAAAACCAGAGTCCATCAGATTGGTGCCGAGCTCGATCAGATCCAAACATTTTGAATTCGACAGGTTCTATTTGGGACACAATTGAATACAGCAGAAAAATGAACTTACTATTAGTCTACTGTTATTGATGAAAAAAAAATGGTATTATTTCAAGTTTGTGTTTCTTTGTGCTTTCAACTCTTGCATTGTTAGTTTTTTCTTTATTATCATAAAGTTTTACTTTTTGGAACTCGTCAATTTTTTTTCGTATATATTATTGGTCATGCTATGTCGTTTCTCATGATTCTAGTGGATTGATAGATTTACTATTTATTTTGATCAATTGTGCTGTTGCTATGTGATTATCAGTCATTCTTTTTGAAAAATTGTAATTGTTTACTTTATAGTTCTTTACAATAGTGAGACTTGGAATTTGTGTTTTTAATCAAAAATAAGCTTTTATTAATACTTTGTATTCATTACTTATCAATATCATTTTCTACTCTTTTCAAAGTACCATTGAAACATAGCCAAAATGTATGTGATCCTGTTCAGACAACAGAATATCGTTATCTTAACTGTCTGAGTTTCTTATTATAAAACAAGTGAGTATCTATATTCTTTGAAATGACCACTTTGCATTTTTCTTTAAATCTACGTATTGATTGCAATAACGTACATGCATATGTTACATTCATGAACGGCATTGTCAACATGAATTACTTTGACCTCTTCGATAGAAAATGTCGATGAAACACATTCGTGTAAATATTTTCGCGTTCATCAATTTTGTGTTTTACTAGCTGTTGATGAACAATATAGCTTAAGTAAGGAACAATTCTCAGAAGATCCGTTCAATGCGTTAATGAGCACACCAACTCTTGATATGGAGAAAATAAATCAGTTTTTGCTTGTGGCGCTTGAGAAATAAATTACCAATAGAAAACGTATTTACATCTTTCACGATAACCAATAGAATATTTTCTCGAAGAAGATTCGAGTCTGTTCATCCAATAGAATATTAATAATAAAGAATCGCCATTGTTTGTTTCGACAGTAATTCATATAGATCGGTAACTGTTGTTTTTAGAAAATCTGTAGTACAGATGACATTGAATCGATTATAACAATATTCAATAATATTGAAAATATTTCTCGAAAAGAATTTAATGAAATTCGAACTGATAAAAATCATCTTTTTCGATTGCTTAAATTTTGCAATCAATAATCGTAATAGGAATTTTATTATTCACATTCATGTTTAGCATGTTATTTTTTATTTTTATTTTTTTTGCATTTAACTTTAATCATGAATTTTTATAAATTATTTTAGATTTTAAATTAAAATACAAATGGCTGTAGTAGTGGAAGATAGTCCAGTTGTTCTACCAAAAGAAGTTTGGCTTTTGTTTTTTTTTTTCTTAATACTTAATGAATATTTAATTTTGAAAGGAAGACCTTAATCGAAATGTTCATCAAAATTATATCCTCTCATCTCAATATGAATCACTTGATAGTGATGATTTATATACGAAATATAAGGTTTAATTAATTTAATGATGGATTATAAGTTGTTCTAAGGAAAATATTTTGAATTTAGAAACTTCAACGTCAACTTGAATTTTACGAAGTACAAGAAGAATATGTTAAAACAGAATTAAAAAATTTAAAAAAAGAAATGTTACATGCACAAGAAGAAATAAAACGTATTCAAAGTGTTCCACTTGTTATTGGACAATTTCTTGAAGCAGTTGATCAAAACACTGGTATTGTTGGATCGACCACTGGTAAATATGTTTTCTTTCTCAAAATAAAACTCTCTTAGTTATAGATCAACAAAACATTGAATATGATTTTATATACCGATTAACGTGATCAATGACTACCTGCATATCTTTGCTTACATTGTTCTATAGTTTGTTGATAGTAGAGATATGCAGAGTAAGCTTTTTTTCGTATTCTGACTGAGCGAAAATTTTTGATCTTCACCCTACTCTAACCTGCAGGGTAGGGTAACCCTGTACATCGGTAGTTAATCATACAAAAATATTCAGATTTTCGGTTCTTGTATAAAAATTTCATTTCAAAGATGTTTTATGAATGATATTTATTGTGTAATATCTAAAGTCTATGAAAGTAGTATTAAACGCAATGTTTAATTACTTATATGTCACATTAATTGTCACGCAAACCTTTTTGAGACAAAATATCACTAAAACATAAGATATATTACTGAGACGGTACTCAGTTATCGAAATTTTACTTAAATCATGATGATGCGTAAAAAATTAATATACTTGATGTGACTTTAAATAAATCATTGTCGTTTATTTTTTTTTATTATTTAGGCTCAAATTATTATGTTCGAATTTTATCCACTATCGATCGTGAACTTTTAAAAGCTGGGGCTAGTGTTGCTTTGCATAAACATTCAAATGCACTTGTTGACATTCTACCACCAGAATCCGACAGCAGTATATCAATGTTACAAGCTGGTAATAGGACGAAATTGTTTATTTTTTTTTATAGGAAATACATCTATGAATTTTTCTTATAGATGAAAAACCAGATGTTGATTATTCGGATATTGGTGGATTAGATTTACAAAAACAAGAAATTCGTGAAGCCGTTGAATTACCATTAACACATTTTGGTAAATTTTAAAAATCGATAAAAATTTTTTTCATATTTTTTTTTTTAATCTAAGAATTGTATAAATTAATTGGTATTGATCCACCACGCGGCGTACTTATGTTTGGTCCTCCAGGTTAATGAATTATTTAAATATTTTCTTTTATTAAAGATGTTTTTTTCTTACAGGCTGTGGAAAGACAATGTTGGCTAAAGCTGTTGCTCGGCATACGACTGGTTAGAAGATTTTAATATTGTTGATATTCATTTTCTATTGTTTGATGTATTTTATTACAGCTTCATTTATTCGTGTAGTTGGTTCTGAATTTGTTCAAAAATATCTTGGCGAAGGTCCTCGAATGGTTCGAGATGTGTTTCGTCTTGCTAAAGGTATGAAACTATTCAATATATATATATATATCTTAATACATATTAATATCTTATTAGAAAATTCTCCTGCTATAATTTTTATCGATGAAATCGATGCCATTGCTACAAAACGTTTTGATGCTCAAACAGGAGGTTAGATTTTAAATACTATTATTTTATAATTCATCTTATTTCTTTTTATAGCTGATCGTGAAGTACAACGTATCTTACTTGAATTACTCAATCAAATGGATGGTTTCGATCAAAGCATTAACGTTAAAGTAAATTATTCATAAGAGGGATCCTTCTCCTTTTTGAGACTTCTGAAGAATGACTCATCAAAAATATTTGAAACTTTCATGATAGACGAATCTCAATGAATAGAGTAAAAGTAATCATAGACTTCAAATACTTTCTTTTAGAAAGTATCTGAATCACAAGAGCCAAAAAATTGCCCTATTTTCTTAGTCGCACTACGTTCGACGGAACTGGAATTTTTTTTTCGAGATATTAGATACTGCCTGCACTGCAGAGGTTTCTTGATTTCTTTTTATCTCCTTCCATTTTAATGACAAAATCAAAATACTGAACGTATCTTCAAATAATACACAAAACAGTGTCTAGTACGTGTAATAAAAAGTTTCAACTCGATTCAACATACTATGTCGGAGAAATGAAGGCGATTTCGAGAAAAACGAAAAAAAAAAATTCTCCTGTGTGTATCAGAACTTTTCTTCTCGAACTAAAATGATCGAAAACTGGTCATGTATTGCGGTGTTAGAGATCCACGACACATACTCTCAGGAAATTGAGAATGAGACATAATCATTATCATTTGAAAAATTTTGAATACAAAAGGTAAACGCAGCACAAACTTTTCTGCTAGGGATTTTGAGAGTTAGTTTTAATAAAAGTGCTAGCTAATAATGAAGAATCATCATCTGTATATAATTTGAGAGAGAACATTTCGAAACTATATCAAAAATCGAAACAACTTAGATGGAGACAATTAAATTTTTTTAAGGTTATCATGGCAACAAATCGTGCTGATACACTTGATCCAGCTCTTATTCGTCCTGGTCGTCTAGATCGTAAAATTGAATTTCCTTTACCTGATCGACGACAAAAGCGTTTAATTTTTTCAACTGTAACAAGTAAAATGAATTTAAGTGATGAAGTTGATTTAGAAGATTATGTTGCACGTCCTGATCATATATCCGGTGCTGATATTAATTCAATTTGTCAAGAAGTATATTATAAAAGCTTTTTTTTTTTATTTTTTTGAATTATATAATTTATTTTATTTGAATTAGGCTGGTATGCAAGCTGTACGCGAAAATCGTTATATTGTTTTGGCAAAAGATTTTGAAAAAGCTTATAAAAATGTTGTTAAAAAAAATGAACAAGATTTTGAATTTTATAAGTAATCGAAAAAAAAATAAAAATAAAGTTTTTCAAATGAGGATGTCGATTGTAGGACGCATTCTGTTATTTAAATGATTAAGTATATTCTTGAAAAGATGTTTTCATTATTTGAATTTTTTTTTTTGTTCTTTTACTTCTATTTATTTATATATCCTATTCTAGATCTTGTACTTTTGCTTTTGTTTTGTATAAGAACACTGTACATGAAAACAATGTCGAAAAATACTGGTAATAATCGAATTAGTGCATTAAAACGTCTTAGCAAACCATCTCCAATAAATAATGGCAATCGTCGTCAATTAATTGGAACAAAAAATTCATCAGCACCAGATGCACGAGAATTATTAACAAATCGAAAGAAATCATCATTTGATGCTAGACAATTATTAAGTCGACAATCATCAAATACATCAACCAATACAATTGTACGAAAGAATCTTTTACAAAATAAAGAAGAAATTGGTAATAATAATGGAAAAATGGTTGTTGTTACTGGACTTAAAGATATGGAAATGAAAGATGGACGAGTAAATAAAAGAAGTTCAAAAAAGAAACCAAAATAAAAATAATTTTTGTACACTTGTTTTTTTTAGCTCATTTCAGCGGCAACCACCGGTAGTATTCAAGTTGAAAAAAAGAAAAAAATTTTTGCTGTTGGACCATCTACATTTGTTACTATTCGTAATAATAGTAATTCTAATAACAGCTCGAGTCAATCAGCTGAAAAATTTTCTTTAACTAAAGTAATTTTACTTTTATGTCTAAAGGAAAAAAAATATTTACGTTTTTCGTAGACGATTAAAAATCCATCAGTCCGTGTTGAAGATGATAATCGTGCTTCTCAAACTCTAAATACTCTTTCATCTTTATCTGATCAAAAAGTTGTTATAAGTTTTGTTAATGATCAATATCAGAAAAATCCTAAGCCATCACAACCCACAACAACAATGAGTTCATCATCATTATCATCCATTCAGCAGCATCATCCACCTCCGACGATCAAACGTTTGCATGATGCTTCTATCCAAACAACATCAGCATCCTCATCTCGATCACCTATTCGGATGAGTTCTCATCGTCGTCATGCTAGTACTACAATAGATGATGAGGATCGTATAAGTCATCAAACAATTCATGATGATCTTTATGAACCTTCAGTAAAACGCACTACTTCGTCTACACGAAAAACAACAACAACAACAACAACAGATAAAGAACAACAGGGTCTATCTACTGTAGTACCTACAGGTTCTGTTAAACGAACATCAACAGGTGTACCAGTTAATTCAAGAATAACATCTAATACCTCAACAGTAATATATGTTTCTTTTCATAGTAGGGTTTTTGTGAAACTCACATCTATTTTTCAAGAAAATAGTGAGCACAATTTTAAAGCGAAGTTTTCATTGTCCCTTGTTGACGTTAATAACTAGGAGGGAAAGGAAATCAACAACCATTGGGTAATTTTTTCTTAACAACGGGAAAAGTGTGCCAGTAATAAGTGCTTAGATCATTCTGAAGCTTTCTAAAACATTCTATAAATCTAAGAGTTCTGCTATAGGTTTTCACAAGTCTAAGTATTCCAGATTTCAGTATTTAATCTAGCAAAAGGACATTAGTGTAGGTGTCAATCAGGAAAGTGGTAGTATTAATGATCTCGCAGAGTCAAAATAAGGCATATATGGAAAAGTATGAATTAATTGAATTCTAATTTTAAGCAAAACTCAACAGTATATGTCAAAGTTCTCCGAGAGAAAGCTCACTGAACAATTAAATCAATGTGTATAGTAAGCTAATATGTTGTTTGAACCAATGAATCGAAGAATAAAATGCACTATCTAGGGCATACATCGTATCTATGATCCTTCAGAGAAAAGACTTTATATATTGAAGATATACTTGACAATGCAAAGAAGTTCTTTTTAGGATAGCGATATTAAATGAATCTAATAAGTTAGTAGAATAGAAATTTCAAGTAGAAACATTTTCAAAATGATAAGATTTCAGAGCGCACGTATCATACATTAAAATTGCTTCAGTTCGCATTTCTTTAAATAAATTACTTTAATCTCTCTGATAATATACCATAAATATATAAGAATCAGATTTTGTAAGATCTACACATTGACTTCTCATGGAGCTGCACAAAAATCCTATTTTTTACACGAGCTATATATATCTTATAGTCAAAACCAATATCAACGACACAATCTACTTCAATACCAGGAACAATATTAGTCACTAATCTTCAACCATCTGTTACAGAAGAAGATGTTATTGTATGTGATTTCGAATTTTTTTTTTTTTGTGTAAATTATATATTTTTTATTTTATTTATTTAGGAATTATTTAGTGAAATTGGTCGTATTAATGAAATAACAACATTAAGTCAAGGTTGTGTTCAAATTGTCTATGCTAAACGTGAACATGCTGAACAAGCTGTTTCTAAATATCATAATCGTTTATTAGATGGACAATTTATGTACGTTAGTCTGCAACAATCATCATCTTATTCAGCAACACAAAATCCAAAAATAACAAACAATACTCAACAACCAACAAAAGAGAATGGGTAAAACAGTTTATATACTAAATTTATTTTTTAATGTTTTTAATTGTCTATTAATTAGAACATCGATTAATTCTTCATCAACTACTGATCAACCATTAAAATTAAATGCAACAAATAATTCTTCAAATAAAATTGTGATTGATCCAGCATTTATCCGTCAAGCACTGTTTCATCCGTCGAATAATTCTTCAAATCCTGTACAATTTCAAGTTAAACTCTAACAAGAAAAAAAAAATAAAAAAAAGAAACTTTTGAACTTGAATATGTATATGTATTTGGTTTGGGATCTTTTTCTTGTATGTTTATTCATTAATCTTTATTCATAAAGAAAAAAAAAAATTAAGAACAAAGACAAAAAAAACATATCTATATTAGGTAGAAATCTTTGAAGAATTTTTTCAGACAAGAATGTTTATTCGTAATATGCAAATATTTCGTTTAATATACAGTAAAAATCGATATAGATTTTTTTCGACAACAAGTATTTGTTTTAATTTCAAACAAGAACAAAATCAAATATTGAATAAAAAAGTACAAAATGATATATTTCCCGTTGAAAATAAACTACCTAGTTTAGCTAATTTACCTTCATATTTACCAGAACCAACTGGTATCAAATCAAAATTATTTAATGATTTTTATTTAATATATCGTTTTCGTTTTCATCGATCTATGCGATATATTCAAATTCTTAAACTTTCACAAACCTTTGCAACGTAAGTAAAGTTTTTATTCAGAAGAACTTTTTTTTTTCAATATTGATTCGTTGTTAGTCAATTTGAAATATAAAGTCTTGCATAAAACTTTAACAAATTATTGAGTAACATTTCAGGTGACTTTGACTAACGAGAAAAAATTATCATAACGTCATTCAATTTGCTTTTGATTCAAGATCAAATGCATCATGTAGTTGCTAATGAGATTTCTATATGTTGAACAAAGTTCATGTTCCTAGCCTACTTCTGCCAAAATATTTAATTTTTACGATATTTTCCAATACAAGTCTGTAGTTCTCTCAGAGACACTTGAAAAAAACGAATTTCAACTTGAAACTTAGCATAGAGAAAGATCACTATGAAATATATCTATTCTAAAGATTTTAGATTTCTGAAATCATTCTATAATTAGATACATGAATAAGAAAAATGATTAGTTCTTCGATCAATTACAGCATAAAATGTTTAGTTTTCCTATTTTATGATAAGAGTAACCAAATCATTCGAAATCTTTAGAATAAATGTGTCTCATCGATACCTTCCTCTGTGCAAAATTTCAAGTCGAAAATTGACTTTTCAAGTGATAATAAGGGTACCATAGTATCATACTAAACAAAATTTTTAAAATTGCATATCTTGACAGAAATAATCGAGGAACACCAACTCTTCAGAATATTAAGGCTACAATATTGTCAATAGAATGCACATAATGTCCACTTGAAAATGAATTGACATGTGCGAATGTTCTCTAGTAACATTCAAAAAATGAGAAATCTTCAATTTAAATAATATTCAATTATTTTTTCTTCTATTTTATAGTGCTCTCATAACTCCATATCAAATTTATTGTTACAATGAAGGTTTAACAACATTATTTGAACTTCAATTTTCACTATTCCTCTTAAGTCTTGCATCCTTTAGTCTTTACTTATTTGGTTGGGCTGCAACACGAACAATTTGTTATATATATACAAATGTTGAATGTAATCGTGTTATCTTAACTCATGTTGATTTTTGGGGTCGACGTACAAATATTGAATTAAATACAACTGATATTGTACCTATAAATGATATTGAAACTCCAAATAAAACAATCTTACCATTTAAACGTTATTCAACTACGAATACAATGTATTATTCAACAAAACTTGGTCAAATACTTGATCGACCAAGATTTAATCGAATATTTGCTGGTATAATAACACAAGATACAAAAAATTGGTGGTAGATCGTATTATTTGTAATGAATAAATTTTGTTTTAATAAACGAAGATAAAACAAAAAAAAAAGATATTCTACGATATAGAAACTAATTATAAATAAAAAAAAAACAATTCAACTGTTTATATATTTTTTTAATCAAGTTTAGAATATGATGAAGATTTAATCATTGAACTACCATCATAAGTTTCTTGAATTTCAATTTCATTTGTTTTACATAAATTTTCTGTACTTCCACTTAAATTTGTAGCTTGTGGCCAACCACTATGACTACTAGCTAAATCTAATAAATCATTTGTACTAGTAGTTAAAGTATTATTTGGATGTTGAAAAGTTGAAGAAGTATTATGATCTTCGATACAACTTGAACGAATTATTGTTGATGTTGAATTTCCACTTGATTGATTTGTTAAAGTCGTTGAAGTATTTATAACAGATGATTTTTTCATAAGTTCATCAAGTAATCGAGCATAAATTCGAAGTTCATCTTCAATACTAAAACGTAATTCATATGCCATTTGTTCAAAATTTCTACGTAAATCATCATATTCATTTTTAAGTTTTTCAGCTATTGTTCTTTCATGTATTTGTTTATCACGTATTCTACGTTCGATTTCATGTAATTTTGTTTCTTCATCACGTAATAAACGACGTTTATCAGATAAAATTTTTGTTAAATTATTTAATTGCAATTGTTCTTTATCATACTCCTAAAAAAAAAGAATAAAAAATGACTAACAAAGGAAGTTCTCTATCTAATAAATCATTTTTCACTCGAGACTATGTCCATTATATGGATCCAAATGAACTATGAATATTCTAAAAATAGTCCATACTCTTGGCTTATTGTTGTGAAGATATTATAGTTTTACGGTTATTTTTAAATGAATGTCGTGCTCCAGAAAAACTGATTTTCGAATATTGACTTGGAACTTCACATAGAGATAAGCTTTAACCAGAGTAGATTATTGTGAAAATTTCTGGTTTTTTGATTGACTCCTATTCTTGATTACAAGCATCAAAGTTGTCACCGTATATGATCGAAGTAAAAAACATGCTTTCACCATAGTCGTATCTCAGGATGGATGCCATCAAAGGCTTTCAAATTTTTACAATAAACTATTCTAATTAAGGTGTTTCTATTCAAGGTTTCAAGTTGAAGTCCGAAAATCATATTTTCTGCTGCTATTGAAGGGAATCACGACATTGTTTAAAAAAAATTCATAAAAGTGCATTACTTCCACACCAACATGCGAGAGGCGCGAACTCTTTTTCTGATTATTTATAGCTCATTAGAGGCTACATAATACAGATAGTGTTGAGTTCAAAGCAATTCATCAGTTAGAGAAGTATCCTCGTAAAACAAAATCATTTAAGAAATCTCTAATTATTTACTTCCATGCTTATACGTAATTTTGTTTCTTCGACTTGAATTCTATGTTTATCAGATTCTTGCATTGAACTATCGGTTAATCCAGGTATTTGTTTAAGCTGATTCTCAACAATACGTAATTGTCCTTCAATTTGATATTCAAGTTCATCTTGAAATTTCTTTGCTTGTTTTGAATAATCACGTTTAATATCTCGTATAGCATTTGTTAATTCTTCTCTATAAAATAAAATTGAATCATCTTTTGATTGATCTAAAAGACGTTTCCATTCATTAATTTCTTCATCATTTAATGCATTTATTAAATTAATACGTTCACGTAATGACTGTATATCATCTAATAATGTTTGTTTATCAATAACTAAACGTAACCAATCTTGTGAACGTTCACGAAATTTATTTAATTCTTTTATTAAATCATCTCGAATACTTGATAATTCTTCTTCACTACTATGTTCACGTTGTATTATACGATTTAATTCTTCTTGTAATTTATCAACAAGATGACGTAAATAGTCTTGTTTACGTTTATACATATCTTGAATATTTCCATATAAAGCAATTGTACGATTAATTACAGCAGTTTCTTGTTCAGCAGCACGTGAACGTACTTCATCAGTAGCACGTTTGATAGCACGATCATTTATTTGATTAATTATTTGTCGTAATTCATTTTCATCACGTGGTAAAATTCCCCATTTAGAAAATTCATCTTTTAATTGTGTTTGTAATTGTTCATTGATACGTTTTAATTGGTCAATATTTGCAAGAAAATGTGAAAAACGATCATTTAAATGACGTAATTCTTCTTTTTCTTTAACATCACGATCACGTTCACGTTGAACAAGTTCCATTGCTTTACCAAGTTCTTCAGCATTTTGTCCAGTTTCTGAACGACTTGTTGTAGCAACATCATATTCGAACTTTAAGATACGTTTATCCATTGTTGTTAAATTGGATAAGAAAATGAAAAGTGTATGAATGGTTATATGAACAAAACTGATGTTGTGCTTCTCAATGGAACACTTTTTCTTTTTCTTTTTCCTTTGTTTTCTAATGAGAATTTAATAAAACATTAATGCTAGTAGTTTATGTTACAAATGAAAAAAAGAAACTACTATTGGAATAATTATTTTGAACTTATATGCATATGTAATATTAATAATGATTAGAATAAAAAGATTAATGGTACAAATAATATGAACTATTTATGGACAATGTCATCTATACATGTCATTCAGAAAGTTCAATATCGGTTTAGTACATCGCTATTCACTAAATGCATTTCTTTTTCGGTAACTATTACAAAAGAAAAATGAATCATTTTTAATTAAGATAAGTCTCAAATAAATTTAAAATACAAACTATAGTGAACCGATTCTTTGGGACGATGATTTAAATTGAGTTAGTTTTATTTCCATTATCGTTCGAAAGAATTGAAACTATATAAATAGAAAGAGTGAAACTCGAGCTTCATTTTGATAACAAAAACTTTCTAAAAGCATAATGTTTTTGAAGTAGCATGCTTATTTTATGGCAGGCAGCAGAAAATGTTCATGAGAACTCTTCATCATTTTTAAATGTAGTAGTGGACAAAAGTACTGCCTTTTCCCTCAGATCTGAGTTTCCATAAATGAAGGAGATTTCGAAAATTTCATGCACTTACTTCACCAAGAATATAGGTCAGAGACATGAAGTCGTTTCGATAGCTAAGATGCTACAAAAATTAGGATGGACGGCACTTATTTTTTCTTCAAGTTTTTTGCCCTGAAAACAATACATGTTTCAATTTACTGCAAGATTGCTGTCTTTGAATATCTTGGAACTTTTGACACTAACACAATAGTTATCGGCATACCGTCTTCCTTTGAAAGAAGGTTCTTTTGTCAGACCT